TTGGTTGATTGTGTTAAAAAATTATTATTACATATATTTCCAGTGGAACTTCGGTATTCGAACAGCTCCGTACTCAAACATTTTGGTATTTGAACACTTTGTTCAGTAAACAAATCGCCAGATAGTCAACCGTTTGCTCGGCACACGACCAAACAAACACGACTTGCGAGAACTTAGCTGTAAACTATTTCGTGTTTCATTGCATTTTTTGGTGTTTTTTTTTATGTTATTTGTATAAATAAGTCACCATGAGGCCTAAGAGGGTTAGGGATAACAGGCAACCAAAACGAAAATTTATTGGGAAAAATTTGTTCTGTACTTGAACAGATCAGCACTCGAACAGCCTTCTGGAACCAGTTAAGTTTGAGTGCCAAAGTTCCACTGTATAGGTACATGTTAAGCTTGTAAGGGTTATACAATACCTCAGGAATAGAATGTAATTAAAGGTAACAGCGGCTAACAACTACTGGGCAGAATTGCTGTTGCTTTACATTTTACAACACACACACACACAAATATATATATAATATATATTATATATATATATATATATATATATATATATATATATATATATATATATATATATATAATATATATATATATATATATATATAATATATATATAATATATATATATATATATATATATATATAATATATATATATATATATATATATATATATATATATATATATATATTATATATATATATATATATATATATAATAATATATTTATTTATTTATTACACATACATACATACATACACATACATACATACACATACATATTTTTTTATCACACTGGCCTATTCCCACCAAGGCAGGGTGGCCCGAAAAAGAAAAACTTTCACCATCATTCACTCCATCACTGTCTTGCCAGAAGGGTGCTTTACACTACAGTTTTTAAAATGCAACATTAACACCCCTCCTTCAGAGTGCAGGCACTGTACTTCCCATCTCCAGAACTCAAGTCCGGCCTGCTGGTTTCCCTGAACCCCTTCATAAATGTTACTTTGCTCACACTCCAACAGCACGTCAAGTATTAAAAACCATTTGTCTCCATTCACTCCTATCAAACACGCTCACGCATGCCTGCTGGAAGTCCAAGCCCCTCGCACACAAAACCTCCTTTACCCCCGCCCTCCAACCTTTCCTAGGCCGACCCCTACCCCGCCTTCCTTCCACTACAGACTGATACACTCTTGAAGTCACTCTGTTTCACTCCATTCTCTCTACATGTCCGAACCACCTCAACAACCCTTCCTCAGCCCTCTGGACAACAGTTTTGGTAATCCCGCACCTCCTCCTAACTTCCAAACTACGAATTCTCTGCATTATATTCACACCACACATTGCCCTCAGACATGACATCTCCACTGCCTCCAGCCTTCTCCTCACTGCAACATTCATCACCCATGCTTCACACCCATATAAGAGCGTTGGTAAAACTATACTCTCATACATTCCCCTCTTTGCCTCCAAGGACAAAGTTCTTTGTCTCCACAGACTCCTAAGTGCACCACTCACCCTTTTCCCCTCATCAATTCTATGATTCACCTCATCTTTCATAAACCCATCCGCTGACACGTCCACTCCCAAATACAGTGGTCCCTCGCTTTTCGTAGTTCTCGGCAGTCGTAAATTTCGCCAATCATAGGGGTATTTTCGTATAACCATGGACTCGCTTTTCATAGGTTGACTCGCGAATAGTAGTTCGTCCGGGACGCGTACGCACGGTGTGAGCCGAGGCGGCCTCCCTACCCAGCCAGTCTGGCATTGTTTACCAGTGAGTGAAGGTCCCCTCAAGTGCTCCTACGAAATATTTCATATTCCACTGATTTTAGTGCTTGCAAGTACTAAATAAGCTACCATGGCTCCAAAGAAAGCTCCTAGTGCCAAGCCTGTGGTAAAGAAGGTGAGAAATATGTACAGTGACAAAGTCTTGGGCCATTTTAGGGAAGTGTTAAAGAAACGCCAGAAACAGAGCTCTCTCCACAGTTACTTTGTGAGACAGGACTAGAGTGACTCACAAGGTGGTCCTAGTGGCATTAAGAAACAGAGAAGAGAAGCAACCCCAGAGAAGCAATTGGTACCTGAGGTGTTGCTGGAAGGGGATTCCCCTTCCAAACTGTAAACAATCCAATCTCTCCTCCTCCAGTTTCCCATACACTAAGAAGAATCTCCAATAAAGGTAAGTTTTATGCTGTTTATGTTTCATTCATCATTTCCCATTGTACTGTTTATGTACTACATGTATATTTCATGTAAAAAATTTTTTTGTTTTAATACTTCTGGGTATCAGGAACGGATTAATTGTATTTACATTATTTCTTATGGGGAAAATTGATTCGCAAATCGTAAATTTCGTTTATAGTAGCTCCTCCAGGAACGGATTAATTACGAAAAATGAGGGACCACTGTATCTGAATACATTCACCTCCTCCATACTCTCTCCCTCCAATCTGATATCCAATCTTTCATCAACTAATCTTTTTGTTATCCTCATTACCTTACTCTTTCCTGTATTCACTTTTAATTTTCTTCTTTTGCACACCCTACCAAATTCATCCACCAACCTCTGCAGCTTCTCTTCAGAATCTCCCAAGAGCACAGTGTCATCAGCAAAGAGCAACTGTGACAACTCCCACTTTATGTGTGATTCTTTATCTTTTAACTCCACGCCTCTTGCCAAGACCCTCGCATTTACTTCTCTTACAACCCCATCTATAAATATATTAAACAACCACGGTGACATCACACATCCTTGTGTAAGGCCTACTTTTACTGGGAAATAATTTCCCTCTTTCCTACATACTCTAACTTGAGCCTCACTATCCTCGTAAAAACTCTTCACTGCTTTCAGTAACCTACCTCCTACACCATACACCTGCCACATTGCCCCCCCTATCCACCCTGTCGTACGCCTTTTCCAAATCAATAAATGTCACAAGACCTCTTTAGCCTTATCTCAATACTGTTCACTTATATGTTTCACTGTAAACACCTGGTCCACACATCCCCTACCTTTCCTAAAGCCTCCTTGCTCATCTGCTATCCTATTCTCCATCTTCCTCTTAATTCTTTCAATAATAACTCTACCATACACTTTACCAGGTATACTCAACAGACTTATCCCCCTATAATTTTTTCACTCTCTTTTGTCCCCTTTGCCTTTATACAAAGGAACTATGCATGCTCTCTGCCAATCCCTAGGTACCTTACCCTCTTCCATACATTCATTAAATAATTGCAACAACCACTCCAAAACTATATCCCCACCTACTTTTAACATTTCTATCTTTATCCCATCAATCCCAGCTGCCTTACCCCCTTTCATTTTACCTACTGCCTCACGAACTTCCCCCACACTCACAACTGGCTCTTCCTCACTCCTACAAGATGTTATTCCTCCTTGCCCTATGCACGAAATCACAGCTTCCCTATCTTCATCAACATTTAACAATTCCTCAAAATATTCCCTCCATCTTCCCAATACCTCTAACTCTCCATTTAATAACTCTCCTTTCCTATTTTTAACTGACAAATCCATTTGATCTCTAGGCTTCCTTAACTTGTTAATCTCACTCCAAAACTTTTTCTTTTCAACAAAATTTGTTGATAACATCTCACCCACTCTCTCATTTGCTCTCTTTTTACATTGCTTCACCACTCTCTTACCCTCTCTCTTTTTCATATACATACATACATATACATACATATATACATACATACATATATACATATACATACATACATATGCATACATACATATACATACACAGCATGGAATAATCAATCATTTCTTGTGCATACTGTGATTTTTTGATATGCAAAGAAAATGAATATAGTACTTTACATTTATTTTTGTCTTGCACCTACCTGAATGTAAACAAAGCTGCATATCTAGTGATGACATTTCTAGGTTAAGCTATGCAACCTAACAATCACAACCTAAGCTTAACTAAGTAAAAACCTAACATTAATTAAATGTACCCTAACCTAACTAAATTCATTTTGTCCATGAATGGCATACAATACCGAATAAATGAAAAATTAGACATCTGTAGACATTTCGGCAACCAGTGGCTTTATCAATACAAGGACACATCTCGCCAAATAACAATTTACATAAGAAATACTGATGCTATGATGTGCAAAGGTTACATATATTGAAAAAGTAAACTAATGACCAAATTCTGCTGAGCAGTTGTTGGTAACTACAATATAAGAACCAGAAATGGAATCTTGAACATCTAGAACTGATTAGCATTGTGTATGCCAATACGAAAATTTTGCCTGTCATTTTTCATACAAATTAACTGCCTGAATTCATACTTTGTCTTGTATATTTAAGTAATTTAGGCATCAAGATACCCAAATGCTGCACAAGCGTCTCATTTATCAACTTGTCGGTTTTGTAAACCATTTATTCACATGGGTGTCTTTGCAAGTTTCGTCAACAAATTTACCAAATGATCAGTAACTTTCATTATAAATTTATAGCCCATATCAAATATGTTATGGCTTTAAAGCTATGTTACAAAAATTACAAGTTAAGGTAGCTTTTACCAAAGTTACCGATCATTATCTTAGCTACCAAGCATTGGTAAATGGCTAGGAAAACCAAACATTTTATGCCAATACTAAACCAATAGGCATATTCTAGTAGCAAAATTCTGTCAATAAGATCAAAATAGGCCTACACTGGTAGGATAGTTGACGGACGAGCAGATTTGAAGCGTCCTTGCTGCTGTGTAAATGCAGTACACTTAAGAGGTCCCCAGAGTGAGTGGAAAACAGGTGAGGGAGGAAACACTTCAGGGAGGTCATACTGCCTGCCACACCTGACCACAAGCCTTCACTGCCCCCACCTGTAAACATTCTCAGGTGACTTCAGCTAGCCCCAAACACTGCAACATCATTTTCCATTATAACATTTTCCCCTCCTCTTTTATTTTCCTACGGGAAAATCACATTTACTATCAATACCGCACCTGGTACACTTGATTCCATGCATCACTGACTTCCAATTGTTTACATTCACTTTCTATAGCGAGTATGTGGCTACGGTCCGTCATTGTGCTCACCACCACCGCCGCCACCACCACTGCCACCACTGCCGCCGCTGCTGCCGCTACCGCCGCCGCTGCTGCCGCTGCCGCTATATGTCAGCCTCGCCACACACACCACCAGCCAATAACACTCTTCTGAAAACACATTCCACACAATTTATATACATTACTACCTTATATTAAATTGTTTCGTAAATCTTATATTTTGTTTTCTTATTTTTTATGCTGTTGATAATTATAAACAAATTTTAAGAAATATTTCCGAAATCCTAACGCTTTTCAACAGTTATGGACGCCGTTCTTTAATAAAATAATGCAGTACAACTTACTTAAAAAATAATTACCTAATTTTGCTACACAGGACAAGAACTGTTGCAAGTAAATATAATAAAGTCTAAATAGCACAGAAAGTAGAGGGGAAATTCCTAGGTCTAATGGTAGACGATAAACATATTTAATACACAAATAATCAACACTTAAATAAGGTTATTTACTTATTGTTCCAGCTACGGTATTGTGATTTAATTCTTTAAAATTTTATGCCGATATCCAACACTTATCAACAAAAGTCTCTAAGACGGTAAAGATAACTCTCAGGTAATATTATGTTTTACAATCCACACTCCTACCGATACTCCTCCCTGATTTACCTATATTTCACATATAGATTCTCTGCCTGGGGATCCACTTCGTCAGCTTGTCTCATACCAACATGAACTAAATGGTTATAACTGGCCATAATTTTTAAAGGGGTAGACCGATAAGCCAGCAGAAGGCCTCGGTCAGATGACCAAAAGTTCCAACGATGGGTCATCATATGACTAAAACTCGCGTCATGACGGAAACACTTGTCCTGTTTCCTGATGACCATTACCTACCCCATACCAATATAACTCAACAAAGAGCACTCTTTCAATGGGCAATACACTATATTCTTTTTTCAAATCCCCAAACCTACTAATTATAAATCCAGTTTAATTCACATAGTAATGTTGATGCTGAACTCAGGAAACTCCTTGAAAATTGTCAAGGAACACAGGCGATTACAATCTTAGGCTGTCAGTTAACAGTACAAAAACAATAATACAAAGAGAACTTCCTTGATTCGAGACTGACACCAGTCAGTCTGTCATCATGCAGGACGAGCCACATGTCTGTGGTGCTTCAAACAACATCATCAGACTCTAGGAAAAAGAAACAACTACAACAGCAGGAGGAAGGGGCCGCCGCCGCCGCCGCCATGCCGCATCATAATTATGAGCGGCCGCCCTTGCCTCCACCCTCCTGCCGTTATTTATTTATTTATTTATTTAGTAATTTTAGCATACATACAGAGGTACAAAAAAATACAGGTAAGAGCAGCATGCCAAAGCCACTTATATGCATAGCATTAACATTCTTGTCGAGGTATATATGTGATGAATGTATATACAAGTTTGGCAAAGGCTTGGAATGTGTTACCTGATCATATTAGTGCCAGTAAGAGAATAAATCAATTGATATGTCGTCCATACTTGTTTTCTCTCAAGTTTTTGGAAACTACACCCACACACAGTTAAATAAAGCTGCAGAAAATGGTAGAAAATATGATTACCGTTTACGACTTGACATTAATATTAATATACTATTTAGAAAGCTCTATATACGATTTAGGAAGCTCTATATATTATTTAGAAAGTTCTATATACTATTTAGAAAGCTCTATATACTATTTAGAAAGCTCTATATACTATTTAGAAAGCTCTATATACTATTTAGAAAACTGCATACTATTTAGAAAGCGCTATATACTATTTAGAAAACTCTGTATACTGTTTAGAAAACTGTATACTATTTAGAAAGCGCTATATACTATTTAGAAAACTCTGTATGCTATTTAGAAAGCACTGTATACTATTTAGAAAACTGTATACTATTTAGAAAGCACTATATACTATTTAGAAAACTCTGTATACTATTTAGAAAACTATATACTATTTAGAAACCTCTATATACCATTTAGAAAGCTCTGTATACTATTTAGAAAGCTATGCATACTATTTAGAAAGCTCTATACACTTCAGAAAGCTCTATATAATATTTAGAAAGCTCTATTTACTATTTAGAAAGTTCTATATACTATTTAGAAAGCTCTATATACTAGAAATTATTATTATTATAATCAAGGGGAAGCGCTAAACCCGTAGGATTATACAGCGCCTGGGGGGGATGTGGAAGGCATTCAGGCTTATATACTAGAAAGCTCTATCTACTAGAACGCTCTATATACTATATAAAAAGTTCTCTATACTATATAGAATGTTCTGTATACTATAAAGAAGACTCCTGGTTATGCAGAGCGCTTCAGGAAACTAGGTTAATCTTGTCCGCCAGGATGCCACCCACAACTGTTGACTAACATCCTGATACAGTTGGAGAAAAAAGTTTCTCGACTCTCTCTGAGCAGAAATGATATTCTAGCAACTCAGACGTAGTAAACACTGGAGTAAAAAAGTCTGCTTTCATGAATGAATTTATGGATATGGAGTGTATAATAAAGATGTTAATTAAACTTAACTCGTACGACGAAGGTGAGTGGTTGACAAAATTAATTGTCAGTACGTTCTGTTTATCTATTTACAAGCAGATTTATGTTATCATATTTATTACGTGATTTAGATAATGATGGGTATATTATTGCACGAGTTTATTTTCCAGGTTAATAAGTAATGTTTACAAACCTAGTCGACGTTACAGTTTCTTCGGCATGCAATTGTGTAATGTATGTGTAAAATCAGATTTAGTGGTGAATTGTACAATCCAGCTTTTTTGAACAAGCATTCACTAGCGAATCCAGTTATGATTGTTTTGAAAACACTTAATTCTAAAACGTCATTATACTCTTTTTAATTTTCCTAAATTTAGCATGTGTAAATATAAATACTGTAATAATTGTGTATTAAAATGTGACGCTGATTTGACTCTTCGAGAAATTTGGTGTGAAGGAGAGTGCGCAGTGGCCGCGGAGTGATACGGAAGGGGGGGAGTGATGAATTAATGTGTGAACATTGGTTGTGGTGAAATTGTCTAGTAACCTGGAGTTCCATGAGTCTGGGCCTGGGGTAAAGTGCATGGGCATGTCGTTTATCGCCTTTTCGAAATCATTTGGCATCAGGATAATATCGGATAGGTGTGTGTCTACCAAATTCTGTCTCTCATAAAAAATTCATTTAGGTCTTCGACTCTCAGTCTAGTTAGTGGCTCATTAAAAACCGAGTCATATTGGGACTTGAGTAGCTCACTCATTTCCTTGCCGTCATCTGTGTAGGACCCATCCCGTTTAAGTAGGGGTCCCATACGGGATGTTCTAGAGTTTGATTTGGCATAAGAAAAGAAATACTTTGGTTTCTTTCAGTTTCATTTATGGCTTTTAGTTCTCGCATTTCTTGACTCCTGTAAGCAGGGCCGGATTAAGAAGTCTCCGGGCCCTAGGCTGTTCAGATTGGCGGGGCCCCTTTGAGTTACAGGTAAGCGAAGCGACCCCTTCCAGCTTGGGGGTGGGGAGGGTCGGTGTGAGCCTGTTTAAGGTCTAATTAAATACATTCTGGCTATTTAGATTAAATTTAATAGGGAAAGTACATCAAGACAACCAAAACCATTTACCAACAGCCATTATAACTATCTTGTTAAAATCATGCATTTTAAAGAGAATAAACTCAAGACAGCATAGTATTACTAGATTAGGCTATTAAAGTAGTGACATCATGTACCTATTATATTCAGCATAACCACTACAGCACTATTATTCCCTTTATAAATCACTGACCATTATTGTTATCATTGCATCATGCATAAGACTATCAAATCATATAAACTACAGAAAATTGGAGAGGAATCTCCCATACTCACCCATTAGCGAGAAAACACAGCTGTTCTGATGTAAACAAAGGTGTGTTGAGTGTTGCCATCTATGGTTAGGTTTATTTATTTTTATTTTATTTTATTTCATTATTTATTTTTGTTTTGATTAATTTTTAAAAATCAATTTTACTCTCCAAACACCTGAGCTTTTTAGGTAGGGACCCCTTTGCACTTGCACCATGTGCACAGTCTTGGATGAGCCCCTGAACCCCTTGGACCGCGGGGCCCCCAAATGCGCGGGGCCCTAGGCAAATGCCTAGTTTGCCTATGCGGTAATCCGGCCCTGCCTGTAAGATTTCTTTAGCTTTAGTTCGATGTTTGCTATTTCTTTGACCAGTGTCTCCCTACGTATTGCAGATATATTGGCCTCTGATATTCTTTGCCTTCGCCTGTATAGGGAGCGCCTTTCTCTCTCTAGTTTACATCTCCTTTTCCTTTAGGAAATATGCCTTGAGAAAACCTCAAGTGCCACAGAGTTAATTTATTCTAGACATAGGGTAGGATTAGTGTTGCTTAGTCTATCTTCACAGTTTATATCATTTAGGACTTGGTTTACTTGGTCCCACCTTATGTTTTTGTTATTGAAGTTGAATTTGGTGAAGGTTCCCTCGTGACTGATCATATTTTGTCGGTCTGGGGCTCCCCGCATGCATGTCTGGACCTCTATTATGTTGTGATCTGAGTATACTGTTTTTGATATGATGACATTTCGTATCAGATCATCATTGTTAGTGAAGATAAGGTCCAGCGTATTCTCCAATCTTGTAGGCTCTATTATTTGCTGATTTAACGTGAATTTGGTGCAATTTAAAAGCTCGTGTGTGTGCGAGTTTTCATCTGAGCTGCTTCCTGGTGTTATCTCTGCTACAACATTATTTGCTTTATTCCTCCGTTTTAGGTGCCTTAGGCTGAAATCTCCCAGGAGTAAGATGTTGGGGGCACGAGCTGGAAGATTTTCCAGACAATGGTCAATTTTCAAAAGCTGTCCATGGAATTGTTGGGAAGTTGCATCCGGAGGCTTGTATACAACCACAATGACCAGTGTTGATTCTCGATCTTTACTGCTAAAACTTCAACTACATCATTTGAGGCATTTAGTAGTTCTGAGCATACAAGTGACTGTGTTATACAGGCCAACCCCCCTTCCCCCTCCTTTTGCCTGTTCACTCTGTCACATCTGTATAGGTTGTAACCCGGGATCCATATTTCGTTGTCCA